TATACCTACAGTTCATACATTTTGAGTAGAGAGCAAAATGTGGTGGACCTCTGTACTTTGTGAAATTCGTTCAGGACCACGATGGCGTACCACTCTGTCTCGCGAGGCAATCATGTCGCGGACGCAATCGGGCCATAATTACCCAGTTGATGGAAAATGATTGTCAAAACATACCCAGCCCAACAATTGTTGTGGATCACATTGCCGTCGCTCTGTACCTTTCGTTGGGGGGCGTTTGTAGTGGCCGTGTCAAGCAAAACTTGGTACGGTGATATAGTACATTGACAAGTCGTCGAGTCAGGAATACCTAGTGTTTGGACTGTACCTTCCTCGGACACCACGCTCTCAACAGCGTGCGCCTGCGACTCGAACACGGTCGATCTAGCCATCGGTTCTCGATGTCACTTCTCATTTGGCAACGTACAACCAACAACATGGTGCGCATTGCCGCGATCGCTGCCGTCGCCACGTCGGCATCCGCCACCACCATCTCCGAGAGCACCTTTCGTGCCCTGGAAACGCATGGGGTCGTCGATGTCTTGGTCACCTACAAGGCCGGCGTCGGACTCACTACGCTCAACACCGAGTCATTGCCGCGGAAAGCCCGCGCCCAACAAGTGTTTAACACGTTGACGAATGAAAACTTCGCCATCACCGAGTCCGCTGTGGAGGTCGCCAGAGCCGCCGGCGTCAAGTACACCCAATTCTGGATCGACTCCGTGGTCGCAGTCGAAGGTGCCAACGAGGAACTCGTCACCAAGTTGGGTGCCCTCCCGAACGTCGTCAGGGTGTCCCCCGTGGAAGAGTACGAGGCGCCAACCTTCGATGTCGACATCGTCGCGACCAACGAATGGGGTCTTGAGAAAATCGGCGTTCCCGCAGCCTGGGCCCGCGGCAACAAAGGCAAGGGCATCGTCGTCGCTAATATCGACACTGGTGTCCGCGGCACGCACGAAGCGCTCAAGGGCAACTTCCGCGCCTTGAACGGCTGGTACGATCCCTCCACGAACTCGTTGGCTCCCACCGACCACAAAGGCCACGGAACCCACACAATGGGGACAATAGTCGGTATCAACGGCATTGGAGTCGCCCCGGAAGCCCAATGGATTGCGTGCGGCGCGTGCCCTGGCAAGTGCTCTCAAACTCTCTACTTAAAATGCGCCCAATTCATCCTGTGCCCAACCGACACGAATGGCCAAAACCCCGACTGCTCGCTGGCACCTCACGTCGTCAACAACTCATGGAGCACCCGTCAAAACGGCAAAACGTGGTTCGAAGCGTCGATCCTTGCCTGGCGTGCGGCCGGCATCATTCCCGTGTTCTCGAACGGGAACTATGGTCCCAATTGCAGTACTGTTGGCTCCCCGAGTGACTCCCCCTCAGTCATTAGTGTCGGTGCCACGAACAAAGCTGATGCGTTGGCCACATTCAGCGCGAGGGGCCCAGACCCGCTCCAACAGCGAATCAAGCCGGATGTGTCGGCCCCCGGTACTATGATTCGTTCGGCTGGTTCATCCAGCGATACCGCGTACGTCACGAAGTCTGGTACGTCCATGGCCGCCCCCCACGTCACCGGTACCATCGCTCTGATCTTGAACGCCCACCCTGGTGCGACGTACGACACCGTGTACAAAATGATCGCTGACACGGTCGATACGAGCTCGTTGACGATATCCACGGCTAATTGCGGAGGTGTGGACAACACCAAGTACCCCAACAACGACTATGGGTACGGCCGTATTAACGCCAACAAGGCGTCCGCCCCGGCCCCGACTCCCGATCCCACCACGACCACGAGCTAAATGCACAGACATGTCCGAGGTGGTTTCACCCGCACACTGCTTCGGCAGCGTGTGTCGATGTTTAAATGAACTGTTGTTTGATCGAAAGAACCGATGGTGCATCTGCGTTTCAGTCGGCCATGCACCAAGCACCGAATGACGCTCGAGTGGATGCTTTCTTCAAGAGGCTTGATGCCGTCGCGGTCTTCACGCTTTGAAGGCGGTCGGACCTCTCAAGAGGCAGGGATGGATATGACTTGCGCAGCTGAGTCACACGATGAAGGGGTGGGTATGGCTGTGGGCTACTCCCGAGTGCTGCTACGAATTGAGGCGTACAGGGAGAAAGAAGCCATGTTTTGCCATGCATGTGTACACCACAGAGTTGGTAGGGCTATTTTGATGCGGCAGCGTTGGGACCGTGCTTGCACTTTGCCGCCACAAGGGTTTAACCTTTCAAGTCGCGTCGGTGCGACAGAAATGACGACAGGTGCTGAATGTACAGTCTGTACATTATGGCAAGCAACAATGCGATCAAACCTCAGCCTCGTATCCGAGGGCGCCCTCTACGACTAGACGAGTTCATGACGCCCTCTGCATCCAAAGCAATTTTGCGGTATCCGGGGGCGACAGGGCCCACATTGCAGGGGTGTCCTCCATGGTTGGCTCACACGAAATCATGGACGTGTGGCCTTTGTATGCTAGATCGAGCGATCAGGTACTTGCAATGGAAATGTATCTCAGCCCCCATCGATGTGAACCCTGATTTTGAGTGTGGTGAAAGTTCTCGACGGCAACTTGGATCTGCCAACGGACGCTGAGCGACGTGCCCTTGAACCAATTGTGCGCGCAATTCTCGTCGATCGCCAATGTCGACACCCTCGAGTGTCCGATGCGG